CAACATGTTGTGTTGGAGTTTCAAAAAATATTTTTTTTCCCCCCCCCCCCCATTTCACGTCATTTTTTTTGGCATGTCTATCAACAGACGGCAATTTCTAATCATTAAATAATAGGTTATCCAGTGATTAATTTCTTGTGATTAATTACGGGTGTAGACTTTACTTACAAATAATGTCGTGGCTCTTATTAATTACCCGAACTTTGCTAGGTGATTTGCAAACACGTCAGCAATCTTGAGCCGTCATTAGCAAACACAAGTACAGAAAGAGTTGCTGGTTTTGATTTGGATCGGTAATTTCTTTCTTTGAGTGATAGGATCAAGGGGATCACATGTGCACTTGGCAGGCTTTTAAGCAAAACACGCATCCAGTGGGGTTTGGAGTGGGGCAGAGAGAAACCGTCCACGCAAGGCTTGGACTGCCAGAGCCAGCACACTCATTGCACGTCCCGCTTGAATCAGGAGTGCACGTCGGCTGAATGGGATGCTAAATAAGTCGAGCGTGCACACGCTGACAGCCGACTAGAGATGACTTTCTTCCCCTTTGATTCCCCGCAGAGGCCGTGCCAGCATGTGTGACTAAGATACAAGCAGCGAGTGCTTCAGACTGACCCAGATTTCTGCAAGGCTGGCTCGCTCTCAATGCCAGACATTCACTCAATCCGCTTTTCTTTGCATGATTACTTAATTTCTGCATATCATTAAACGAAAAAAAAAAAAATCCCACACTACTAAAACAATTCACCCTTTGAAGACCTGACATTGCAATAGCTGCCGCTTGGTGGTCTACGGTAAAGAACATTTCGACTTAATTATAACAATACAAAACAAAAACAAACACCAAAAATAAATATTTGTCTTCCAAAATCTGCCTTTGCTTTTTACCTGCAGTAGGGGTGCCGGTCCTTCGGGGCCCCCCACGACACCCTCCTCCCACAAGTTTCTGATCCAAAACTCAGTGATGCCGGCAGGAGCCTTTTTGCTTGACGTCACTGGGCTTTGTATCAGGCCCTAACCTGAGAGGTGGCAGAAAGGCAGGTATGGGACACTCGAGGCGGATCAAGACACCAGCTGCTCTTCCCAGGGGCCTAGTCAGGACCTGAGGTTTGGGATGACTGTCCTTCGTCCTAACTGCGTCTGGAGAGGAGCAGTCCCTTTCCAATGACTTGGGTATATCTGCGAGGCGCCGGTTGGTAGGATTCACCAGCCCAGCCAAGAAGGAGCAGGATCGAGAGTGGATTATCTGATAGGCACCAAACTGGGTCCTCGACGACCTTTGCACAACAGCTCTTTCTGATTGCATTTCAATAGCAGCCAGATCACATTGATAGGGGATGAACATGCTTCTTGTGCTGGAAATGCTGCCAACATTTGTTCTCGGGCTGGACTATGGCTTTTAAAGTGCGGCGGGAGGAACAACTGATACAACAGGAGCCCAAGGAAGGGATCAGGCCGGCTCTGGCAGGCTGGGGAGTTCCCAGCTGGGGTCACTGTCCCAAAGTCCTTGAATGATGCTTGGGGACCGATGGACATACCAGGCTAGACCCTCAGCTAGCATTGCACAGGCTCAGTGGAGCTCTCCTGGCTTTCACCAGCCAGAGACGCAGTCAATACCTGATATCACTGCTGCTCAGCACATCAGATAGGCCAGAGAACAATATCACGTGTACTAAAGCATGCTCATTGCTGAGGCCTGGGGTGATACCAGGACATCCACAGCATCCACCAGGAAGGGGAGTTGCAGAGGATCACAATCATTCCTGAACCCTTTTCCTGCTGCAAACGCAGTCACTATTAACCGTACGCTTTCCCCTTGCTGGGACACGACTGTGGTTGAGCCCCGGGACAGTTTCAATATCCTCAAGGGACCCATGAATGCTTATGCTAGCTGAGGGTCAAGCCTGCTGTGAGTACATGCATATGGGTATGCGTGTATGGATGCATGTATGTGTGTGTACCTTGGAAGGGGGACCCACAACCCATCCTGGAGGTTCAGAGATGCACCTGGAGGTCTGCAATGAATTATCCATAGACCTGGCTTGCAAACGTCATGTTGAGTTGGATGCCAGCCTCCGTCGGCTCTGATTGAAACGGGATATTGCTAAAACAGCCCTTCTCCTCACTTGTTAGCCTTCCCGTACTCAATAGGGAGCAGGAAGTGCGGAAGTGAGAACGGGAAGAAAAAAAAAAAAGACTGAAAATGAGTTAAGTACATTCCCTTGAACATCCAAAATGGGCGAGTTCACTGTTTTCTGGCCTGGTTTTACATGCCCTGCCACCCAAATCACACACATTGAGGTACCATCAAGCTCCCTCTCCACCCTAATGCTCAGTGCACTTACAAGCCAACAGAATGGACCTCTTGTCTGATTTTAGGCTTGGACCAGCTAGACCGTCATGTTCATTTAAAATCTCTGATTGCACGAATTTTGCTCTCGCTCCCTGGGCTCAGGTAGGAGAAGGGGACCCCCAATATTCATTTACAGCCAGTAGTTGTGAGTCATTTACCAAAGAAGAAAAAAGCATGCTGCTTCATCAGGGAATCAGCAGTGAGATTGCTCCTGAAGGAACATGCACCAAGTGACCCCGGACGGACACAGACACCCAATGCCACCACAGTCCAAGCTGTGTCTTAGTCCGCTACAATTAGTGGCTATGGCCCAGGGGACCCAGCCAGTCCTGTGTGTGTTACCATATGACAGATGGGCTTTCGAATAAAAGAGACAGCCAAACCAAACCGAGTGGTGAAGGCAACGCCACCGGCCTCTCATACCACTGCAAGAAGATGGCATTTCACGCTCCCCGCTCCTTTGACTGGGTTTCCCTTCATCTTTGTGCTTCGAATGCTCTCCCAGAGGTGAAACTACCGTGTGCCATTTGTACACCCCTCATGTAAACTCTGAATACCCCCGTTGTTCAACAGGTAGCGAGGCCCGCAGGTCTGGACAGCACTGCCTTCATTAACACCTTGGAGACCAGACCACTGAGTAAATGTGTGTGATCAACAGCTGGCCACATCGATGGCCCACTTTTTCCATATAACTTGACCTCCTGTTACACAGAACAGAGAAACTGTATGAAAACCCTTGGCATCCCATGTGCAGCCTGGTCTTCTTTTGCCCACTAAATGCTCTCCGGGAACCTTTCGTCTCCTTGTTCTTCTTCTTCCTCTCTGATCCTTACATCACGGTCTCTCTTTCTTCTTCCACAAGCACCGTAGGCCTGTCTCCGTCGTAAAGTCCAGAGCCGTTCAGGTACTCCTCGTCTTTGTTGTATTGCTCCGGCCCAGAAGAAGGCATGGAGTTTTCTGAAATGGAGCCATTTTTTACATAACCCGGCAAATTTCGGTGTCCATTGAGGGCTCCCGGTATAAGTCTCGTATTGAGATGGAGGGCAAGTGCCCCTCTGGTAGTTACGTTCGTGATGCTGGTATGGGAGACCATGGGTCCATAACTATATGTTGTGCTCCCACTCCGTGCTTTCCTTTTAAAGTCAAGTGCTAATGTCCATCTGCTCCATGACTTCTTTATTTCTGCTTGAACCTGAAGATGTTGAGAGAGGAGAGAAGGAGGAAATCATTTAGTCTGGGGAAGAGAAGACCGAGGGGGGATTGAATAGCAGCCTTTACCTCCCTGCAGGGGGGCTGCAAAAAGGATGGAGCTGGGCTGTTCTCAGTGGGGGCAGATGGCAGGACAAGGAGCAATGGGCTCAGGCTGCAGCAAGGGAAGTTGAGGTTGGAGATTAGGAAGAACATCCTGACTAGGAAGGTAATTACATACTAGAGCAGGTTACCCAGAGAGGTGGTAGCATCTCCATCCTTGGAGGTTTTTAAGAGAAAGCCTTGTCTGGGATGATGTAGTTGGGGCTGGTCCTGCTTGGAGCAGGGGGTTGGACTAGATGGTCCCTTCAACCCTCATTGTCTGTGATTCTGCAATTAGTCAGGAATGAGGAAACGAATGGTAGGGGATAACAGGGCGGGGGTGTTTCTGAAAGAGGTGGTGTTAGCTGGGAGAACCAGCTAGGGAGATCATTAGAATAAATTGGATGAAATTGGGGGCAAGGTTATATTTAGGCTGGACACTGTGCAACATCTCCTTCTGCTGCTGGGTACATTTGCTGTTCAGAGGGTGGAAACGCAATTGCGTGAGCTATTTCCCAATGGACTGGGTCAATGGGCAACCTGGCATGGACTGGCAATGGTTTGATGACGTGACTAACTCCTGCGGTGCTATGCATAGCTACACCTTTTCCACCAGCTGGCCCTGTATCGATCCATAATTGGGATTATTTATCCCTCTCTCCCTGTGTGGAACACGACTTTCCTTCCCCTCTTGGTCTCCTGCCTCGCCTACCTCTGATATCTGCAGAGCTGCAAACCAGCACGGCCACCAACTTCACTGCAAAATCTCTCTCAAGCAGTCTAGCAAGCTGCTCTTTCAAAGCATTCGTTCTCCAGGTGTAAATCCCCAGTCGTTCCCCCCACAGAAGCTCATCACCCAGTCCATAATTCAGAGCTAAGTTTAGCAGCCTTCCTGCAGGGCGGGGGCTCAATGTGCCACATGAGAGTCGCTATCAGGTCATATTCATAACCAACATTTCTCCATGAAGCTTTCGTGGTCTTTTACCTGATTTCTTTTCATGTCCCTAAGTATCTCTGCATAGACTTGACTGTAAGGTTTACAATCTAGATCACTGGTGTTGGTTTATGGGCCAAATCCAGCCCCTGGAGCCATGTCACCCGGCTCCTCGTGGCTCTGGGCTGTAGATATCTGGGATCAACTTACAAAGAACGGGGAACACTAAGGAGTGAAGACACTCACCTCTCCATTGCAAAAACAGTATATGATGGCCACAAAAAATCCCTGCAAAAAAAACAACAACAAAAAAACAACGTCATATTTATCTCGCAGCCTCCTACTGTCTATTTTCTGGCACTGGGGTCCATAGCCCCAGCTTGAGTCAATCTGCATTGCTCAGGTCTTCACTCGTTGTTCAAGCTAACAGAGCTAAATTGATGTATCCTCAGTTTAGTACAATTTACCCACACTAGGAAAAACCATGTTGAGGAGCAAATGCATCAAATAGGAAGCACCAGGTGTCTACTTCCCTTCTCACGCAGCACCGTAACTTTGCCCTTAGCCTGCCCAGAAAGTTGAGGAGCGTCCCGTACCTGGAAAGAGTTGAACAGCATTTCATAGTGCATTTGAACTTGCCAAAGAATCCCTGACACGTCTGTGTATGGCATCGCCATGAACACTATATAGTGAACGCCGAACAGAGGCATAAGGACGAGGGTAGATTTCAGCAGCTTCCTGCGGGGGGAAAAAGAAGAAGAGAATAGAGTAACATCTCAGCCTTAAAGATCCCTGTTTTTGGCCCAAGATGGTAGGACGGGTCTGAGCGGGAGCCTTGCTGCCCACGACACGGCTCATGGTGGGGTCCAGTCTCCAGGCCTGTCCATCTAGCAATAAGTTCCTTAGTAACTAAAGGCAGATCAGCTTTTTTGGGTAGAGGCGATATCTTTTATTAGACCAACTAATTGTTCTTTGCAAACTTTTGGGCACAAACGCCCTTCTTCAGGCAGAGGGTGGTTGTGCTTTATATATAAATATAAATGGTTGATATCCAGGTAGGACAAAAAAGATGGGTTTCTTGGAGCATGAGCAGAGCTGATGGAGGGGGGCAAGGAGACGCCTTGCAAAGCTGTCGGGGCGCTGGTCTGCACGGGAGCCAGCGGAGCTAAGCTGGCTGCCCAGGGGATGGACGTGCCATGGAGTGGTGCTGCTGGCACGTCTCTGCATCTAGCAAGCATCCTCGGGCCGCGGCAGGGGAGAAGCGGCTGCATCTCAGCAGGAGCTGAGCCTACAGGGCAGAGCCCGGCCCTTCGCATTTGGCTGGGTTCGTATCAGCTGTCCCCGCGGGGACAAGCCCTGCCTGGAAATGATGCTGTGCGAGGGGTGAGAGTCCCTGCCAATTGTTACGGCAGTCACCAAATGGAGGCAATTAGTGAGGGAGAGGAGGGCACGGCTGCCAGGAGGCCTGGCCGCGTTCGGCGTCCAACCGACAATCACGGCGGGGCTTCGAAATTAAAAACAGTCGGGCCCGTCCAAACCTTAAGTAATTGCAAGCCTCAACCCCTGAGAAATAAATAGATAAATCACAGCCCTGACAAGGCAGCAAAACAAACCTTTGCCTTTTCCAGCCAAATTCCAGGCCCCGCTTGCAAATAAAACCTCTCGCTCTTGAACTCCCTTTGCTGAGCGCGATGGTAGCCATGACCTCGCGTTTTGCCCTGACACTGCCCTGGATTATTTCTCTCGCTCCCCTGTGGATGGTTTTGGAGCGAAGCATTTCAACCTGAGCCAAAACAAGCCCTGCCGAGCTCCGGGCCTCGGTGATTTTGCCTTTGTAGTCCAACTCGAGCTATCAAGACGGGGGGAAGTACTGTAACGCACAACATTGCCGATTGGGTTAGAAAGCCTGCTGCCATGCAGCAAGCTGTGTTTGTGAAGCCGATTTAAAGAGAAGCCCCAGGTTTCAGAAACAAGGGAAAGGAAAAACACGAAAAAAAAAAGGAAGGACCCACGTGCGATGGGATGCAACAGCATAAACGGGCTGTCTCTATGCAAGCCCGCCCAGCCTGGCAGAGAGCGTTTGCTTTTATTCAATGACACCACGCTTCGATGGGGACCCACATGTGCTAGGTGCTGTACCAAGAGAACAGAAGATCCATTTCCCGAGCAGACAAGGGCTGGGAGGGAAAACGAGGGCACGGGAGGGGTTACCCAGCAGGGCAGTGCCTCCTTTGGGAATATACTGCAAGCCGCACGGTCCCTTGGGCACGGGACTAGTCTGTCCTGACCCCCAGGAGCAGGTTGATGGGGATGTCTTCAGCAGAGGAAGGTGTTGGACAACTGGACAATATAACCCTTTGCAACAGTGTCCTCAGCAAGGCCAAACAGGCCTGGGGGCAATGAAGCCATCTCCTTGCCGGGGCAGCTCATCAGAAAGGGAGGCATTTGAATGGCCACCATGCAGGGTAGTAGGGAAGACTGAGGCAGCCCCAGTGCATGCTGGGTGCATGGGCAGGAGACTACAGGTCTTCCCCCAGGCCTCTCAGCCCCGGGCATCTTCTGTCAGAGGAGAAGCGCGACTCACCTGTACTGTTGCCTGGTGTCGCACCGCCCTGCATTGGTTTCCCGCAGCTTGGTTGCTAAGACTCGGATAATATTGATAAAAAGCATAAAATTTACCTGGGAGAGAGAAAAGGGAAAAGACATGAGGATAATAATAATCAGCCATCGAGCTGTTGTGGGCTTGATCTTGATCACATCTAGTCCAACCCCCTGCTCCAAGCAGGACCAGCCCCAACTACATCATCCCAGTCAAAGTTTTGTCTAGCCAGGTCTTAAACGCCTCCAAGGATGGAGAGTGCCCCCCCTCTCTGGGTAGCCTGTTCCAGCGCTTCGCCACCCTCCTAGTGAGAAAGTTTTTCCTAATATCCAACCAGGTTGTTGCCCTCAGGAAGAGCCTCGCAGAAGAGACTGAGCATGCCAGGACAGGACACAGATATTTATGATTTTCAGCTTTGTCACAACTCCCCAAAATATCAAAATGGCTGCAGGAGGAGAAACTTTGTATATGGTGGGCTGAAAACCACCCTGGAGTCTGACCTGCTTCTGCCCCCACACAGCGCAGCCCTCCAAAACAAGGCCTGTGGGATCACAGAGAGGGAGGGCTGGAGCCACTTCTGTTGGTATATCTTCGCTAAACTTTCTGTGTGCATGGGCAATGATGACGGGCAATGATGAACCTTTCTGTGTGCATGGGCAATGATGCACGGGCAATGATGAACCTTTCTGTGTGCATGGGCAATGATGCACGGGCAATGATGAACCTTTCTGTGTGCATGGGCAATGATGCACGGGCAATGATGAACCTTTCTGTGTGCATGGGCAATGATGCACGGGCAATGATGAACCTTTCTGTGTGCATGGGCAATGATGCACGGGCAATGATGAACCTTTCTGTGTGCATGGGCAATGATGCACGGGCAATGATGAACCTTTCTGTGTGCATGGGCAATGATGCACGGGCAATGATGAACCTTTCTGTGTGCATGGGCAATGATGCACGGGCAACGATGAACCTTTCTGTGTGCATGGGCAATGATGCACGGGCAACGATGAACCTTTCTGTGTGCATGGGCAATGATGCACGGGCAACGATGAACCTTTCTGTGTGCATGGGCAATGATGCACGGGCAACGATGAACCTTTCTGTGTGCATGGGCAATGATGCACGGGCAACGATGAACCTTTCTGTGTGCATGGGCAATGATGCACGGGCAACGATGAACCTTTCTGTGTGCATGGGCAATGATGCACGGGCAATGATGAACCTTTCTGTGTGCATGGGCAATGATGCACGGGCAACGATGAACCTTTCTGTGTGCATGGGCAATGATGCACGGGCAACGATGAACCTTTCTGTGTGCATGGGCAATGATGCACGGGCAACGATGAACCTTTCTGTGTGCATGGGCAATGATGCACGGGCAACGATGAACCTTTCTGTGTGCATGGGCAATGATGCACGGGCAACGATGAACCTTTCTGTGTGCATGGGCAATGATGCACGGGCAACGATGAACCTTTCTGTGTGCATGGGCAATGATGCACGGGCAATGATGAACCTTTCTGTGTGCATGGGCAATGATGCACGGGCAACGATGAACCTTTCTGTGTGCATGGGCAATGATGCATGGGCAATGATGAACCTTTCTGTGTGCATGGGCAATGATGCATGGGCAACGATGAACCTTTCTGTGTGCATGGGCAGTGATGGCAGCCCTGACTCATGCAGGTACCACAGTTAGTTCTGGATGAGCTAGCACAAATACAGGGAGCTGTGTTGTGTGTGTGTGTGTGTGGGGGGGGGGGGGGCACTCTGTATTGCTCAACACAAGTCTGTTCTTTGTCTCCACCACTCTGATCCCAGATCCCTTTATTCATGTTTCAAGCCACTTTGAGGACAGAAGGCGAGAACAGAGACGGAGAAGTGGTGAAGTACCTGTATCAGGTCATAACCAACATCAGTGTGTAGGGACTCTGGGACATCAGCATATATTTCCCTGCAGAGTGTAAGGGCCCCCACCTGAGACACAGGCCCAGGCCAGCAGTAGGAACTTAGTAGAAGCAAAGAATAAGCAAGTGACTTTTCTCAAGCAGAACCTGCAACCTGAACAGAAGAGACTGAGCAAGGATGGAGAGGAATAGGTATTCAGCAGGGATCCTGCTTTTCCCCGATTTAAAAAAAAAAAAATCCAAATTTTTGGTTAAAAAAAAAAAGTAGCACCAAATCCACATTTTCCTTGTTTAAAAGGAAACACCACAAATATACATGCATACATACATACCTATATATATATATATATATATATACACGCACACATACTAGCACACACACATATATACACACATATATTTACATACACACACACACACATATATACATACACATATACACACACAGATATACACACACATGTATTTACAGACATATACACACACATAGATATACACACATATATTTACACACACACACACACATATGTATATATATAGACAGAGAGCGGTGTTTCATTTTAAACATGGGAAAATGTGGATTTGGGGTTACTTTTTTAACCAAAATTTGGGGATTCTTTTAAATCAGAGGCAACCAGGACCCCTGGCATTCAGGCAGCCACTCCACATACAGAACTGATGTACAGGGGAGGTTTTGGAGGAATGACTGGCTTCATTGAAGTCCACGAGCGTTTGGCCATTGGTTTCAATAGGACCTGCATTTCTTCCTTAAGTATCTTGACCAAGGTCACAGTGAAAGCTTGTGCTAGAGCCAAGAATATTACTTGGAAACCTTGTCTCCAACTCCTGTGCTTTCCTCAGGAGGCCGCCTTTCCTTTCCGGTCAAGTCACTGGACTAACCATGACCGGTGCTGGTGTCTCTGGTGCCTTTCACTGGTCATCCTCTTTCTCCACTGCTGGTTTATTTCCAAAGAACTCACGCCCGTCTTGCTGGGGTCATCTGACCCCAGCGGTTTTTCCTACCCAGGTGCAGGGGGCTGGATCCGATGATCTGTAAGATCCCTTCCAGCCCCGAACAACTATGGAACTATGGTGCCAATTCCAAGGCAATAACCCCGCACCCTACCTTGCACCCTCTATAGCATCTATTTCTGCTACTGCTGGAGACAGGTACTGGGCTAGCTGGACAGTTAGCCTGACCTCATATGGCACTGCTTAGGCTCATATGTTGTTAGATGATTGTAGATTCATGGGGTCGTAGGCTAGAAGGCCGGAAGAGCTCATCTTCTGACCATCTAGTCTGACCTCCCATGGACCACAGGATATGAAACTTCTCTGCATTCATTCTGGCTTGGATGAAGCAGATCTGTTCAAAAGACAGCCACCTTTGATATGAACATGTCCCACGATGGAGTCTCCCCCATACGCCAGGGTAGGCTGCTCTAGGGATCATCAGTTCCCTTCACTGTTCAAACTCGGTACCTAAATTTTACCTAGCATCAGCTTTCTGGATCTCATTAGACATTTGCCAGAGAAGCTGAACAAAGTTCAATCGTTATCAAAGTTAGTACGGAAAGACCTCTTATGATTCCTAAAATATGAGCAGCGCCTTGAAAGAACTCCAGATAACTCAATGACTTCCAAATTGCCAAGGTATGAGAGGGCTTTTAAGTCCTTTTGGCTGAAATTTCACTGCAAGCAAAACCTTAAAAATGCAAAATGATGTCCAGAAACGTACGACAAGCCAGTGTGGGAATTGAGGAAGCAGCCAAGTGTGCAGGAGGAATCTGCTGAGATTAAACAGAAACGACCTGCAGAATATGTTTGCATGATGAATAGTTGCATTTGTGAATAACCAGAGCACAGGCAGGGCAGAGCTTCCCAGAGAAACATTATCTTTACTGGGGACAAGTCTCCATTCGGCTCTGTCTCTTCTACTAATTAGGTTTTAAATTAAATGCAATGAGGTTGCTGGCAATTAGCCACCTGAACTAGCTGAACTTTCTCTACATTTTTATTTTCCAGTGACCATTGTGTGGTCTTGGCAATTAGTTCCCCCCTCTCTCCCCCAATGCACGTCATTAACCGCTTAATCCAGGTGGAGATTTTCCATCAAGTTGACTTTCTGAGGACGAAGAAAAAAACTCCCCATGCCACCTGGACTAATGAAGTCCATCGGCCTGTTTATTGCAGGAGGTTTTCTCCTGGCATTCGCTGGCCGACGGTCTGATTCTCTTCTCACCCACGTAGGTTGGTTTCCAATGTTTCCCTGTTTTATAAGGGGGAACCGAGTCCCAAAGGGCCTCATCCAAAGCATCCTGAAGTCAGGAGTAAAGTTCCCGTTCGCTTCAGTAGGCTCAAGCTCATGGTGCATGAATGCATAGAAGAGATTAGGATGGAAAGGTTGGGAAAATAGGCTGCCTATCACAAGAGAGAGTTGTGAAGGGAAGCAAGGGAGAGAGAGGGAGAAAAGACAAAATGTTTTCTATGGTACGGATTGAAACCAATTTCCCAGGAGAACCAAGGTCCCGATCCAGAGAAGACAAGCGTGACTACGTGGCCTGACCAGCCCCAGCTCCGTAACTCTTTCCATAACTGGGCCATTTTTGCATCTTGTGGGTGCCCAATACATGACCTGGGTTTGCTCTGATGTGCTGTCTGGGACACTGTACCGCTC